GATGTGTCAAATCTTTCCCTGGGCCTTAGACAAAAAACCCAAGCAGGATGGGCTTGGCACGCCTGCTCATGTTATTTTGCACCAAATACATGTAAAGTGCTTCTGGCCTCAGAGCTGAGCTCTGCAGATTAGCATCTGGGACAAATGGACCCGTGCTCACTCAGAGCCAGACTGATTAAGCCCTCTGCACATAGCCAGTCCTAGTCTCCTCTCGGGCACTGCTGAAGATCACAGAGCTTGTTGGGAGGAAATTGATAATAATCTTAATTTGGAAATGTCTGTCACATGAGTTTCCTTCTTTTCATCGGTGCAAAAAAAAAAAAAAAAAAAGAGGTGGAAAAAGAAGTCAAATGAGTAAAAGAGAGAATAGAACAAAGAGGAGCAGCAGCTAACTGAGGGGAGAAATGGATTTTAAATGATGTGAAGACCATCCTGATTCCCAACAAAACTGGCAGAGGCACCTCTGTAATTTATACTGCAGGCTAATTTATGCACAGTACTGACCACTGCCAACTCTATTTCAGGTTTGAGCACCTGAGTCAAGTCACACATAGAGTACAGAGCAAGGACCCAGACCTGTAAATGCAGTTGAATGTGCTTTGTGTACACTGCAGGTAAAGCCAAGATCTGAGACTGACATTTGAGCTTCTTAGAAAGCTCAGAGGGACTCAGGAAAACACTCAACCAGAGTAGGCTGGGACCTGTGAAGTTCCCTGGTCTGTCAGAACCATCTGCATCACTTGCATTTTCTCCATTTTTTATCTGACAATGCTGGCACACAGGAGATTTCAGATAAGCTGAATTTAAAATGAAGGAAACAGAACGAGGATTGACCACCTTTTAAAGAATATGCACATTAATGACCTTCACAATCTGTGTCATTAGCTGAACATTTAAGTCTTCAGAATGATCTTGCACTATGCATATTAATAGGCACGTTGTTGCTGACATACTGTAAACGCCTAATATTAGTATTCAGTTCCAGAATGAACGGCCTGTCAATCTCAATAAATGTGGCAACTGGGGCTCATTTGTGCAGGTTTATCCTTCATATCAACAGCAGAGCTAGAGTATACTGGTCCAAACCGCAGCCCAGGTGCTGCTGCATGCATTAGTCATCTCCAAATTAGTAATTTCCTCTTTGCTGGCCTTACGATGCAGATGTTCCTCACCTCCAACTGATATTATGTGACTATCCTTCGTGACCTCCAGTGGCACCCTGTCATAGCTTCAATGCCGCAATACCAGCCTGTAAAGCCAAGTATGGGCTGGCACCTCTCTAGCTCCAGGCAATGGTAAACTCTGTGCAGTAGCCACATCTCTCTGATCTACTTCCCGCCTGCAGCTACAGTCCCTCAAACATCCCCACAAACACGCTTGAAGACTAGTCCTTGTTCTTGCACTTTAGAGGTGCAACAGGCTACTTGGTGGAGATCAGGGCGGCAAAATACCTCCTCAAATGGAGACAGGAGACCAACCTTTGTAAAAAGTATCCGGACTGACACCGTCTTAGATTCAGCTGTTACTAAATAAAACATGCTGTCTGGCCTGACTGACCATAAAATCTGCAGCAGGCAGAAATCTGGAAAACCTATTTAAAAATGCAGCTGTCCTCCTGTAGCTCCTCCCTCTTGGTCCTCAGCCCCTCCTACTAGACAAACAAAAGCATATGCATAAGTTTCAAATACCCACAAATAGGGACACGAAGCTTGCTTTCCTGTGTGAAATTCCTCCGTTTATGCCACTGCAGCACCACATCCACTTAAATTACAAAATGCTAGAATATTTCTATGGAATCTTTGCACACTAATGCTGGAAAATACTGCCTACCCCAGCTTTAACTCTGTGTTTTGTTATTTTTCTGCTGTGATGACTGGTACCAGACTAGCTTTTGTACTATTTGACTGTACACTGGAACAAAAGTAGCAACCAATACCACCTAAAGTAAAAATAAGCCTGAGGAAAAACGCTGCATCTTCTGTCTTGTTATGTACATGACTATAGCATCGTCTGGGGTGTAGTTTCCTGCAAGAAGCAGGCCCCAGTGAGGAGTCCAAAATACACCTTGTCATCAGCAGTAGTCTGTCATAGAGAGGGAAGTCAGCATGCTGTCATTTTGTCTGTTGGGCATTGGAAGCAGGGTGAAAGTGTCCTCTGCCAGTGATGGAAAATGTCTTCCACACTCTCACGACACTCTCTGTGTGCATTGCTGACAATCTACAAACAACTGTACACTCAACGGAAAGGTCTTTTTTTTTTTTTTATTTCTTCGTATTGTGCATGTGTCTGGTGATGCTTTAATAACGCGTGTTCCTCTATTTAACAACTGTGGCTTGGTATTTAGGTGACATCCCACCAACCCTGCTTCTCTCCTACTGGGTCAAAGTAGACGAATGCACAATATGTGGTGCTCTATGGAAACTGTAGGTGGAGTCACAGCACAAAGAATCCACAGTTACGTCACACATGAGGGAAAAAAAAACTCTTGTCTGGACTAAAATTAGAGAATTTAGCAAAAAGAAAATAAATAAATAAAAAAATGAAACCACCAGAATTGCTATTTGTGGGCTGAGTGCTGCAAATTAAAGCGTAAGATGGGACGGAGATGCAGCAGCATCCCCAGACAATACACAGAGAGGAAGGTCAAGCCTATACTATCCGTGTCCTCTGTTTGGTCTGTGTCTGTACAAAGAGGAGATCACTCAATGTATTAATCCGTGCAATATGTCATCAGCATCCTCTCAAACACTTAACAAATCATTAATAAATCACTTGTGACTGTCCGAAAAGCCACAACCTAGAACCGATTACATCACCGCGACGCATTGGTGAAGCTATTCTCTAGAGAACAGAACAATTAATATATGGTAACAATAAAACATCACACTGCTAATACAGGGAACAATTTACAAATATTGTACGGGCTCGGTCGAATTAAACTCGTGCTCCAGATTTTGTTGCAGTTATTGTTCTAATATTTTTGCTTTTCAGACAGATTCTGCCAGACGCTGACGTCGCATGGAGATTTCACTGAGTGATATTCTCTTTAAACTGCCTCGTAGCTGTTTAAGTACTCTAAAACAGGCCCATGATGTCACTGTTTCCCGCTCTAACACCCCTCCCCCTCCGTCCCTGTTCATAATCATTTACTTGTCTCCCTTCCATTTGCAGCTGTCAGAATTAAACTGTACATAATGGCTGCCATCACGTCTCTTGCTTCCTGGCTGCTGCTAACCCCAAATCAACGTTCCTGCTTCTTAGTGATGCTCGCTGCAATTGTTTGGCAAATAGTTTGTTTTGAAAATGCAAAAAAAAAAAAAATCAAATAGCCTGACATGAAAGAAAGAGCATCTGATTGGCTTCCAGTGTTCCCTCTGTTGATTTGATTTAAGTTCAAACGAGGACAAGAGGGTAAATTTGTTTGTGCGTGCACGCAGGTAATAAGCGCACACCGATTGTAATGTAGCTGAGCGTGCGTGTGCATCACATCACATCACAGCACATGACGGGAAATAGCAACTGTCTCCTGTTTTTACATCTGTGAGCCAACTGCACAAACCAGACAACATCTGAGTTACAATTAAAACACATTTTCTCCAACAAGCCTCTAATAGTATGTCTGATTAGGAAAGACACTCTTCCCTAAAGACTAGAGGCTGTGTGTTCAGTCAGGGGAGCTATTATTGACAGCTATTGAATGATCTACAGTTGTAAGGGTGGAAAAAAGCAGGATGTCTAAATGAAGCCGACAACTTGATCAATGCTGTTTAAGACGGAAAGAAACTTGCATCCTGTTTTTTTTGGTACAAATCTCTTGGCAGACATTCGCCTCGATGTGAATGAGATGTGTACTGTCAGTATGCTTTACTAGAGTGTGTGTGTTTAACGTTGATCTCTACAGGCACACCGCAGAGGCACTGACTAATCTTTCTATTTGAATTTTTAAACGTCTGTATTTACTTAGAGAGCAACAGCAGAATAAGCTTCAATTTGTGTAGCAACGACATGACTGCGATTAGAAAGGTGTCTAAGGTTCAGGGTGCTTTGACTCTAAAATGATCAGGTCATACCAGGTAGACGAGAGGAAAGAGGGAGAAAAGAAGAAATCGTGACTGACTTCAGTGTAATTTAACAACCACTGCTGCTATTTTAAGAGACAATCCACCATTCTAAATGCTAAAACACTTGGAGGTTTTACTATAACTAGGTTAGTTTACCACAGATGGCAATTATAACATATCGCATGAAACGAAGAAAACATATTGTTTTTATCTGGCAGTCGAATATTTAGACCAAGTGGAAATGCATTACCCACAGTAGATCATCTATCCACAATTTTAATTTTTAAATTTGTGCGACGTACAGGAATCTTTGATGCAAGCCAATATCAAGGAATTGGATTCTTGGATTGACGCGAGCTCCTTTTAGACTCTTGCATCTGATTTATGATCTGAATGGCCTCCTACGTGTAACCATATCTTTTAAATGTCAGGAACCCTCAAAAAAAAGTTCAAGTGCAGATGTTTTAGACCGCAGATCCCTATTTTTATCGAGGTTGCGTTCCACAAAATTCCTTGTAGGAAGATTTTTTTGTACTCTTTCTGAAGTAAACAGGGCTACGTTATCACGAAAGAGCCAAATTCATATTGGAATTTGTCTAACTTTACTGAGATCCCCATCAGCCCTTTTAGGAACGTTTCTCTTTAGTCTAAGAGTGGCTCTGTCGTGGCTGATGTTTTGGGGATCCAGAATGGTCGGGGGAATGTTCCTAGATGGGTCTTAAACTGCAAATTTTGCATTTAAGAAAGTTCCAATTGCAGATGTATGAATAGAGATTTTGCATGAATCTCTGCTGTGTGTTTATCTAACCTATATGCCAGTCTAAACTATAAATGTTGCCGAGTGTGTTGGGGGCTCGGGGGACTATGTCTATGGGGAGAAGCAGAGCAGGATAAGTTGAAGAGAGCAGCAGCCACACAGAACATGGACAGAGCGTTTACCTGGCCCTGTGCTCTGTGGGTACGCCAAGTAGCCGCCTCTTCCACGGGCCCCCCTACCTGAGCCACGCGCTGCTGCTACTGCCGCTGCCGCCACCGGTCCATATGCTGTCGCTGGGAAGCCTGCAGGCACATACACACACATATACACACACACATCACTTCCTGAACATGGATGAGTACGTCCCAAAGCTCCAGGAGAATGTTGAGACCAGCGCTGAGCTACGGGATAAAACTATAGCTGTCAGAGACGGGGGGCTCATGTCAGGGCGACATCTATCAGCGGACTCCTACAGTACCCACTGTGATATTCAAATTCCTGCAGACCCTCTGATACAACCAGAAACAGAACGGCAGCCCTGAGCGACCCACTGCAAAATACAGATGTTTGAAACAATTTAAAAGCGAACTGATCGCCGATTAACTCAGCGAAAATGGCGATTACAGCCTGTGTGCGATGTGAACCCGGTGTGGTCACAGCAGATTTCTGTCGGGCTGAAAAGGTGCAAATCATGCGTAGTATAAGGCGGCAAGTAAACCGACTTTGGGTGGGTTTGCAATTCACTAAGTCCCTGATTATATTAGTGAAAGAATTTGGCTCTGGGGGTGTTTGTGTCACATGCGTTGGATGAAAGATTATAGCCACTTCTGAGCTGCATAGACATGGCTATAATAGCCCTCTCTCTGGGGACTACCTCTGCATTTTGTTCGGAAGTGCTCCTAATTACTGTGAGTTTCTATGGAATCAGAATAATCCACTGTAATGCATTCCACATTTTTTTGTTGTTGTTGGGCTATTCAGGTGGAAGATATATAGCCAGACACAAAAAAACAAAAGAACATTTCCCACAATCAGATGGAGGCATCTGCTGGAATATTTGTCACTCAGAAGAGATTCCCATCTGCGAGCTTATGTGAGGACTGAACAAGTCTCTTGTGTTTGTCTCTTCTTATGTAAACACTCTTACGTAAACATTTACAGTACTCCAACGCTGAGATTTTTTAAAGCTTCAAAGTATGTCTATAGATGCACTCATAAATCTGTCCAAATTGTCAGTTTATGATACACTAATACAATAAAGGCTCTAATTCCATGCAAATATAAATCCACTTTTTAGAGGTCTGAAAATTCCAACAAATATCAGCTTAATAATCAGACTGTAATTAAGCCAACGCTGTATCTGTGAATTGTAATTACATTGTTGGCATTAATGAACACAGTAGCTAGAGGTGGCTGACGGAGGCTAGTCGATGCCCAGGGCTCGGGCTCTTCTCTCAGCGCAGGAATGGCATGTCATTAGTAGTGGTGATGAGATTCCTCACTCTGGGCTCAACACCGTCTATGCCTAATCAGCCTCCTAAAATTATCTCCACAGGAAATGCTTTCCTCACCAGCAAAAAAAAAAAAAAAAAAAAAATCTTCAAATTCCCTCAATTGGAGTTTTTCTTGATTTTTCCTTCTTTTTTTTTTTTTTAGTCGCTATGTGTGTGAGTATCTTCGATGTTTTGGCCAGATTCTGGAGACTGTGGTTTAGACATTACAAAATGGCACAGGACACCTCAGAGGATTATTTTTTGAATGCTGTGGAGGTGAGAGGAGCACCAGCGGGTGACCTATTTTCCGAGCCAGCCTTGTACCGCTATTCCACGAAGAGGGGCTCGCACAAAAGACTGATGAGACGAAGGGGGGGAGGAGGAGAAGGAGGAGGAGGAGGAGGTGAGAGGGCAGGGTCAGACGAGCCGCAGCCAAAGAGAAAAACACATAGCTTTTCATCAGCCGGCTGAGAAGGAGGTAATTCACAACTCCGTCTACACAATATGACCATGAATGCGCGTGTTGGGTGTGAGGTGCCATCACGCTGCGACTGGCAAGCAGGTGAAGAAGAGGAAGAAATGCCACTTTCCTCCCCCCAAACTATCTAACAGCTCGGGGAAAGAATAAGAGAGTGAGGCAGCACGGTGACAGGAGAAACACAAAAGACGACAAAAAAAGGCAACTGAAATCAACCGCATTTATGCTACTGCAGCCGCTCCACACCGGGAACAAATTCCAACAGCTCAAATGATATTCTCCGCCTCTTTTCACAAAAACACAAATCAACTCTGATACTATGCTAATGATGGCCATGCACCCCTGCATTTCCACTTACAGTGTTCCCATGGTTGCTGTGCGGAACAGCGTTTCATGCAGCACTCTCCACCTCTTTTTTCCCTTTCCCTCTCTCTCTCTCTTTTCCTAAGTGCTGAATCTATCTTCCCCTCACTGCCATTGTCATGACACCCCCAATAGACCCACTGGCTTGGAAGTTAGTTGCGGGCAAAGTTGTGGTGAGAGATTAACTTTGCAGGATTAGGTGGGTTAATTAATAGATGGCTGCTGCTCATTGTTTTGTGCTCACGCTGTAAGAAGCCACCCAAGAGAAGCGCTGCAGCATTAAATCAATTTCATGGCCCTTTTATTACTGAGGAGATAAAGCCAATATTTAGCTTTCAATTCTTCACAATTATTGGGCCCCTGCTTTGCCACTTGAGTGGCTGCGCTTGGCTGGGGACAAGGACACATCTGTTTATGAGCTGTGGAGGCCCGGGGGCCTTGGTGTCCGGACTCCGGGGAACTGTCCTCAGCTTTCTCTCCTCAAGCCTGTAGCACAGAAATTCAGCCTTCCTCAGGAGTGTACACAGAAAGGAAGAAAGATTAGACCTAAAGAAAGATGAGGACTGTCAGAAATTTCACACGCGCCATCTCTCCAACCAAAAGAATTACATTTTCTCAACACAAGCAATATTTATATTCACTGTGTCTTTACAGCTTTGACATTAACTTGAATTTCTGTATTTATATAATATTTGACCAAAACTCTGAAACTGACGCTTGAACTTTTACCCCATTTAAAGTATGTACGCGTATCCTTCCCTGACTGAAATAAACTGTCAGCCAAAGCAACTTGGCAAACAGAATGGCATATCAAATTCATGGTACCATAAGTTCTGCGCGACAAAAGCGTGAATTCAGCGAACATAAGGCTCTATTTTCATGACAGTACAAACACTTCATGCCTGTAAAGTGGCATTTTTCTTCGGAGCATACTGGTTCTTTTCCTACCCGCACCTGTATTTTAAGAGTCTCTGTGAACTTGACTGTAGTGAGGAAGGAGGAGAGAGATGCAGTAGGGGCAGTGTCAGTAGTGATCAAACAGCACAGTGCAATTTTTATGTCAAGGTTTCCTGGGATTTTTTTTTTTGCTTGTGCCAACCTGGGTCAAAAGCTTTGTTTTCTCTATTATAAAACTGTCAAAGCACTTCAACAGCAATATGATATTCAGCAAAGTAGAGAAAATGAGGTGGTGTGGTTGGTCAAATTAATTCTAGCCCCTATCATAACTACTGATGGTGTGTTTCTTCTAATGTTGCCATGGTTTCATGCTGCTCTGCAGCTGCATTGCACACTTTTAGCAGCAAAATTACTAAGTTATTATACTGACCCCTAAATATTGACCTCCCTATACAATATTCCTGAGGTTTTTTTTAATAGATTTTTTTTTTTTAAATATTATTTGCTTTTAGCCATTTTATAGCTTTGTTTCATAGAGTTCAGGGCATTTGGATCCATGTGGTGTGCGCCTTAACCACTCGGTCGCCCCTGCTAATTTGATCTCAACATGTCCCTTAGGAACCCTTAAAACTCCAAACATCACCTCGAACTTTTCTTCCAATGCACCACTTGTGATACATCTCTGCAGATCTTTTTTGGCATACTGCCTTTTTAGCCACAGACTCACTTTCTGATCCTATTACTCAGAAAACGTCACAATGAAAAGTTGTTGCATTATGCATCAATAAGGTCCTATTTATGTCCTACTAGTCTGACAACAGCTTGACTGATGTTAATGTAATCTGTACTGTTCTTTGGCCCAAAACTGCCAGCAGCAGCTCCCCTGTCATTGACAAAGGAGCTCCATCAGTCACAGAGCACTCCCCTCATTTCTGCTATAAGAAGACTGTCAACTGTCTAATGCACAGGAGGGGCCCAGGGACGGTGGATATTTCTATGGAGGCCATATGGATTAAAAATATATTAATATCTCTGTGAAAGTGAAAATGAAAAAGGGCCTAGAACTACAGCAAAAGTTAATTTCCAGTGGGACTTAAGGAAGGAATTACTATATACGCTGTTTGGAAAGTGTGAATGTTCTGTTATTCTGCATTTAAATTTTTTGTTTAGCAAGATTTTTAGTTGACGAGGAAAGAAATGATAGCAGAGAAGCACAGTTCCAAACACGCTCTTTAAATTTCGTATTGGAGTGCAGTTATCCGGGGTTAGCTTGCTGGCTAGCCGACTTTTGGTGCTAAGCTGCTTAACACAGTAGCTTGGTTTGGGAGAGAGGCTGGTGAATAAGCCTTTCAGCCTGCAGCTACAGTCGATTTTGGGGGCAGATAGAAGGAGTGAGACGGATGAACAGCAAAGAGCAGTGATGAGTGAGACAGATGAACAGAGAAGAACAGCAGACACATCAGTAGAAAAGGAAGACAAAGAGAGGAAAGGACAAAGATAATGAGAAATAGAGGGAGACGTAAAGCCGCGGCGGTGGTGTCCAATTCATTTTCATGGAATTCTGTTTTGAATTATTAGTATAAAATATTCCAATAAAACTCGATTCCCATGAACCACAGGATTAAATAAAAAGTGAAGGAGTAGCTCGAACAAATAGCTATACAGCTAAAATATCTGTAAATGGCATTTATTTTGAAGAATGTTCCCTCTCAAAGCGTTAAATTATTAATTAGTTTGTCTAAATTGTATTTAAATTTTGTACAGTGGCACAGCTAATGGCATTGTGCTAGTTTAAATTGCAATGATGCATCATATTTCAAGAAATTATTTCATTTTGTGCATGTAAGGAGTAGTATCTAATACATTAGGCGCACTAAAAACATGTAAAACGCTGGTAAAACCTCAATGCATTAATTTGTTGGACCATAAATGCATTTTTATCATTTACTGCTTTGATTATTTTTTTTATTTAAACTGTTTAACTGATAAAATATTTTTCAGCATTACCAGCATGAACCATAGAAGGGACTATGCAAATTCAATGCAAACACTATAGGCAAAATATAAGATA